GATGCAGATCTAAATTATTGCACAAGGACTAAAAGATAAACTGGTACTAATTTCTAAGAACTAACAAACTTCCTAGGAAAGGTATTCTATTTTACACTAAGTTAAAGCTCAATCACATTTTTAAACAAATTCAGCTATTTTAAAATTATGTGTCAAACTCTTCACACAAACAGCTGTTAAAATATACTAGCAGATGTTACAGTGTAACTTGACTTGCCTACATTCCATATTTAAAATACCTTAGTGAAAAAGATTAGCTAAAAACATTTAAAACCAGCTTCCTCTTCTCTATTGCCTTTTCCTGATGCTTTCTTCTGCCCATTTATATACACAACTGCACATGTGTGGTTTCTTTCTTAGCCCACAATCTGCCTTACCATCAATGCTACAGCACTTGGAAGAAATCACTGGGGCAGGGATTTAATTTATGCTTTCCTCCCCCTGGGAACAGCCCCAAGCATAACCGGCACTCGAGCAGCACTCAAAACACCTGAGGAGGATGGAGGAAGGGATCAGATTCTCTCCTCTGGGAGCCAAGCCAGCACCAACACATTTGTCTGCAAACCACAGTGTCCCTTTCTCCTTCTGACATCCAGTTCCTTGCCTCCTGGTCACAACCCCCCTGCCTCATACCTGCACATACTCCAAGATCCCAGCAAGATTCCTGCCCCTAATTCTTTCTAACCGGAAGGGTTAAGTCATAAGAATGGAATGAAATTAGGTCACTGTTCCTCTGCAAGAAAGGCATTATGAATGAAACAAAAGCATCTTCACTGAAAGAAACCGGAATGTCATCTGAGGAGGTTTTTTTCAAACAAGACTCCAACTCTATCATGCTCTCCTCATTACCAATTAAATCCATTAGCAGGTATACAAAGTGAGGTTTACTTCATTTTTTACCATTTTGCTGACAGTATTTTCAAGACTAGACAGTGTGAATAAAATACATATTTAGGCAAATACTTGCAATGAGTATGCAAATTGCAAAACCATTGGCACATTTACATAAAAGTACACAAGCACCTTTCAGTATCTCCTCACATTGTTCCAATTTCCAACACTGTTTTATCTTCCAGATTCAAAGACTACGTGACAGAAATCTAGAATACCTCTTGTATCTATCACGGGATAATAGGAGTTACATACTGCCTCGTCTGGGCACAAATCTACTATCTCTACACAAATACTTGGGTTTAAACTTTAAAGAAATTATTTTATCTCAAACTTACTCCAAATCTAATTTGCATTCTTCATGGGATGGCAGTAAGCAGAAGCTGTTCTTGGTCTTAAAATGAGGTCTGGATTTCATTTGTAATAGTGTAGTTTCTATTATTCTAGCAAGTCTTTGAAGCGAGGATGAATGCAATTTATGTCTTCTAAGAGGACTCCTTTTGCCTTCCCAGGACAGAGTTGCTACTGGAAATTCAGTCCACCTAATGTTCAACTACTACGGATTTCAAAATAAGAAGTCCTACAGCTTGTATTAATAACAGGATGAAAATTATTATCAGCAATCAGTAAGTGTGCTGTAATGGGTGTAGATTTTTTTAAAAAATAAATTTGAGATTACCTTTTTGGACACCGTTAAACTGTTTGTTCTCTAGATTTACTCCAACACGGAAACAACTTGACATAAATTTTTGGGTCTTCCGCCAAAGAGACACAATCCCAGTGGATTACAAAAGACATTTACTTTTTGGAAAGGAAGTATCTCCACTACTTGTGAATTATTTTGTTAATAATTGTGAAGAAATACATATTAAATGGTTACAGTAAATAGCAGGGAATGTACTAGCTAAGCTAGCTTGCTTTATATTTAGGAATATCACTTTTAGGTTTTTTGCACTCAGAAGACAGGGTAATGCAATCCTAAACACTGCTTTTAGAAAATGCAAGAGTTAAGAAGTAATTTTTGCACAGTATCTACTTCATATGTCATTTCTGGCTATTGATTTTTAATACAATCTTATCCACTCCACCTATAGCTTACATTTCTATGGGGCATCATTTTCTGTTAAACATCTCTGTAAGCTGTCGTCCATAGAAAACTATTTTAGTTGTTCAATATAGAATTTAAAATAGTACATCTTTATTACTCAGTTGCTGATTGCTTTATATTGGCACTCACCAAATGTGAACATTAAGGTCTTGTTTTGTCTTGTTAAGGCTGTTCAAAGCTAAGCATTTTATTTGCAATAATTCTGTCTTTCTAATTCCATTTATATTACTTTGGCACCAGATTTCAGACTGAGCTAATATTTAGATAAGAGAAGATGAATTCCAGATACTCCTGGGCTTATACACTAAAGTGCTACAACTAGGGACCTGTGCAGTATCTCTCCCAAATTACAGGCAAAGCACTGAAGGAGTTAGTGGGTGAAATTCTGCTTGTAACAATGCTGCAAAATTGTAAAGAATGGGATTCTGACCTTGGTTACAATAGGGGCGTTTTAAAATTATTTGTGTAAGTTTTTCAACACTACACCCTTTTGCTGTGGCATTTCTTCTTTTACAATATTGAGGAATTTCTAAAATATTTTCTCAGATAATAGAATTTCCTGCCTTTCCATCTATTCTTATGAAATAGTGAAGACTTTTCCAGATACTGATGAAGAGTTAATTCTAAAAATAATTAGATACTTTACTACCAAAAATGCTTCTGCTTTCTCATTTGTATTCATATTTCCTATTTTTTTTTCTGTACTAGACCACCAGCTTCAAAGGCTTTACACTTCTTTTCCTATGACAGTGATTGTAAAAATCATATCGAAATCAGGCAACAAAAATTAACAGCTACATCTCGCAGCTATGAAATGAATTACTATATTTCTGTAATTAATGTATTGCATACTCACACACACACATATACAGATATACCTATATAAATGTGTGCATATGTATATTCTGATTAATAATACGGTGCTAGCTTACTGGCAAGTAGAGATATGGTCTCCATGAATGCTAAACAATGTTAACCAAGTATTGAATTGGCCAAGGTCAGACATCTCCCTAACATACTCCTATTCATAATATTTATATAAAATGTAGTGAGGTAGCACTGTGATATGATACAGAACAAGGCCTCCACTGTGTAAAGGGGGAGCCTAAATAGCAGTCTCAGAGGTAACCACAAACTTGATTCAGTTATTGAGAACATAAGCAGCATTTAGTGACATTTTAAATCCTCTGGGATTCATAACACTGAAGGAAAAAAGTCTAACCCTTAATGTCTTAACAGTACAATGGGAAATTGTCCATAAGTTGATATCAGGTGATATCAGTGATAACAATTTATCAATGACCTTCCAGTTTATAATGATACCCCTCACTGAATATGGGAAATCCTTTCTACTTTGTAAGACACCTCAAACTGATGCATACAAATGAAAGCAAATAACAAAGACAGAAAGGAAATATTACAGACTGCTAATACCAACAGACCAGGGATCCGGGAAAATTACACAAACCCAAATGTCAGCATAAAACATTGTCACAAAATAAGGGAAAGAGTTGTGTTTTCTTAGAAAGGAAGAATAATTGAGTCTGGAAAGGGCCTCTGCAGGTTCCTAGTTCAAACACCCTTGCTCAAAGCAGGGTCAGCCTGAGCAGATTGCTTAGGGTCTGTTCCATTTGTATTTTTAGCATCTCCAAAGATGGAGACTGTACAACGTCTCTGTGCAATATGTTGTAGTGTTTGATCACATCCACAGTCAAAAACTTGAGGGTTTTTTATGTGAAAGTGGAATCTCAGTTAAAATTTCAGCACCATGATCATCATCCCTCCTTAAAAAGGAGCATGAAAGCAAGCTTCCATATTTTGAATGGAAAAGTTTATCCTTAGAAAGTTAAAACAAGCAGCTATTCAGATGGTATAGGAGAGAGATGTTGTCTCTTTGTATATGTACACCTGGAACTCTAGGGGATGTCAGGAGACCACAACATCAGATAAAGACAGACAGACAGGTTAGCATATATGAATCAAAGACATGTCAGGAAACAGTGCCAGGAACTAGAAGGCAATGCAGACAAGCTGTTGGCATTTTGAGTATGAACACCAGCAAAAAACTTTCAAGTTACAAACACAGATTATTAAACTAAAGAGCTAAAAGCTACTTCTAAAGACACAAAAAGCCTTCAGCCCACTGTAGTTTCACCTGAAGAAAAATTACGAGTTATAAGACAGCTGGTAGGTTCTACCACAGTCTTCTCTGATGATACTTATTTTATCTGTTCATCATTCATGAATTGAACTAACTTCTCCAGCCATAAGAAAGGCTTTGTTTAAAAGCACACAGTGTACTACACTTCTTCCTCACTGCCGAGTGTTACCATCCGCAGATGAAGACAATCTGAATAGATTTTAAACATACTTGTAAGCTTTGGAGCAAATTCATCTAGACAACAAGTTAGGCAATTCTCATGTCTTTCCCATGTAACACTTCCCTTGTCCCATATCCTGTCCTTGTTAACCATGAACTCTGGCAGATCCTTGATATTTTATTATATGTAGTAAAAAATTGCGTATCTTAAGACTGAGATGTCCAGCAAGATTATGATGCTTTATAATGATCTTCTCAGACTGTTACAGAACTCACTTTCCATTTCAATTCATTTACAGAAAATTATTCTGCATACAGACACAAGGATGAAGCAAAGGCCAAAGGAGTACAGGTACCATTGAGAGAAAAAACTGGAACCCTTAAATTCTATCAGTTCTAGGTAAAAGAAAGAGAATGAGGAAGAAATTCATCAGCTGATGCTACCTGTAACCACCTGATCTAAGAATGCAAAAGGAAACATTGCAAACCAAATGTAAACAGGAATAAGACACTTCTCTCTTGGGAAAAAAAAAAAATAAAAAATAAAAGAAAGGTAAGGGGGAAAACAAAGATATAGGTTTAAAAAAGAGGCAAAGGAGAGAGAAAAATACAGATTAGTTTGTTTGTTTTTTTTTTTTCCCAAACCATGGCCATGTGCATAGTATACATAAAAGTCCTTACCTTTTTCACTGACACTTTCACTTTCTATCTCCACATCTTCACAGCTAGTATATTCTGGTGTTGATGCCCCTTCTTCCTCTGAGCTACTAACTGACATCTGCCTTTTCTTTCCGCCTCTTTTTGCTCTATGAGGCTTTGGAGGGGATGGCCGCACTGATTCCGACTGGTCAGAGCTAAGGGAATCATTCCTTAGCATGGTCTCCATTTTCTCCCGCTTTGCTTTTCGCATGAGAATAGCAGAGCTAGGATCAAGGCGGCTCTGTTTTTTAAAGGAATCGTGGTTCTTGTATTCTACGTGTTCTATAGGAACTGGACTATGCCTGGGAGTTGGTGGGCTATGATTAGTTAATTGTTTAGAAACAGAAATTCTTACATCACCTGTTCTGTCTATAGAGTACGACCTCTGAGTTTCCACAAGAGATTTTCTGTCATGAGTTCCCTGTAATTGTGAGCGTTTTCCTAATTTATTCTCAGGTACCTCCGCTTCCTCCATTTCTGTATGCGGCAAAGCTACATCACTGTGTCTTCTCTCATGCCGTGCTTTAGAAACTTTTGCATGCATGCGCATCTGCTGTTCCTCAGGATGCGGTTTTACAGGATATCTTGCCAGATTTGGGTCACTCCTGTAACGGGTATGATATTCATCTTCCTTCCTTTGTTTTTCATCATCAGGCACTTTGCCTTCCTCAAGTTTCTCTGGCAAGTCAGGGTAGTCCTGTGACTTGCCTTTCTCCAGCCTTCTACCTTCATGCCGTTCTTTACGCTCCCTGTCATCTGCTGGTCCTTCTTTTTGAAGTGAGGATTTTGGCACACGCTTACGCTCACTCTTTAAACCTTTGCCATTCTGGTCTGAAACCAATATTGTCTTCTTCCTACAATGAATACAACAATTTGAAGAATTGAATGCAAAACTAAAACACCTGTGTACACTGTTATGGTAAATAGACTATAAACCAGGATAAACTATGGCAAAACGTACAGAAAGGTATTGGATCCATTAACATGAATTCAATCTATTAATCCTTCCAGCAGCGCTTTTATTTTCCAACAGCAAACAACTTCCAGACTCCACAAAAACATAAATTGAAGATGCTTCAATGAATTAATAAAATTAGAAAGAATATTAACGTCGATAAATGTAGACAAAAATAATTTACCGACGTAAGTAGGAAGACTCAAAGTCATCTTGGTAGTAACTGCAGTGCTATTCAGAGTATTGGAGCATGTTCTCCATTTTTCTGGCGGCAGTCATGAGGGTTACAGACTAACCACATATACACAATTCATTTCAAGCACTCTGATAATATAAACCCCACCAAATGGACTATCTCCCACAATGACATTACAGAAAGAATTAACATGGTATAAAAAAATGCAGAAGATAATATATCCAGAAAAAATAATATTTGACCTAGTTTATCTTATTAAAAGTCTAAAAAGAAGGGACCATTTCATAAGCATATAAAAAAAAGCAAATTAACTCCTTGAGATAAATTAATGGCGTTCCTTTCTCTGGTAATAAAAGAGGACAAAAAATGTAATTTATTTCTCTATATAGCCAAAGTACAAAACAATTAATAATGAAGCTTCCTGAAAATTAGGATCTCTCCTCTTTCATCTTCTGCTCTGGGAGAATAAGCAAGCCAAAGAATCATAAAATCCTCTTATATGGGAAATTTTTATTTCTCTCATCATTTCAATTGCCCTTTTTGTTTACCAGTTCACATATGAATCCATCAACTTGAAATAAGGCTAAACACAGCTATACACTGTATTTTAGAAGAACCTGCACCAGGACAAAGTCACTAGGACTTTGTTTTGTGGCACTGAATCTTCCCTTGCACAACTGACTCATCTTCAGGTTGCGTATCAAAGATTTTCACAGGTGCATCCACCAGAACAGGCAAAGTTGGACGTGGTCCAAGTTAAGCTCCTATCTCCCTTTTCTCCATCTCCCATTCCTCCTGAGTTTTTTGGCAATAAATGGGACCTGAGCTTACCATAGATGCTCTCCATTCAGAACCCTTGTACTTCATTTGAAAGTCTCAGTAGCAAGTAGAGAACATTACTATTATATAATTAATATAACCACCTCACTTTTGGACAGCAAAGCTAAAATAGAAAGCATTTTGCTGCTCTGAAATTGTCCTTCAGCTCAGTGATGATTGCTCTGGGGGCCTTCCCCAGGAAAAATCAACCAAAAAAATCTCCCCAAAAAATCAAACTTCTCCAAAAAAATCAACCAAATCAGGGGAGGGCACCATGTGTTTGCTTACATCATACATATACATAACACTAACATGAGTTTTGGTCCAGTTAAACCCAGACAGACCTCACCCACTCAGTAAGTTAGTAGCCACTGCTCCTCATCCATCTTCAACTGCTGTGAAAAAAAACCCCATCAACCATTCTGGTCAAGAGAGAATCTTCTATGGCAGATTCTTGATTTGTTGATACAGGCTCCCCCATGACTGCTCTGCCGTCTGCCAGGCAGCAGCCATAAAAACAGCAACTGCTTCACCACATTATGCTCTGTTGGTTTGCTACGCCTCAATTTGTTCGTTACAGTGAATGCAGATCAGGAATTTATTTGTTTACTCCAAATAAAATAGTTTGCTTCCAGTTGGCTTTATTCTTGCATAGAACTTGCTCTGAATTCAAGATGGTACTCTGGTTGTTCTTCATTAATGTTTACGATGAAGGTGTAAATGAGCTCTTTTAATAGTTCCTGGTTTATCATTAAAAACAATATAATCATTGATAAAAAGATAACACATAAGGATATCTGACGGAACTTCACAGGGTAGGGTGTTTGTTTCCTTGTTTGTTGCTTTTTGGGAGGGTGTTGGGTTTTTAAATTCTAGTACATTATTTCAAGTTAGAGGCTTGCTCTTTGTTTAATAATTTTAAAATACCTGCAAAATTTAAAAGTAACCTATAAGACTATATTAAAAGTGTGCACCAAAATGCATTGAAGTACAAGGAAATATCCCTAAAATACAATTTTTTTTTTCCTCATTTCTGTTGCACAGACCAAATCACACAATGTATCTGCTAGTGAACACTTATCCTTCCGTGGTCAGTAACTCAATTTATTCTTTGCTCTTTCATGCAAGGCCCAGCTGAAAGCCCTGTGTAATATTACTGAACTAGCATTCATAATTGCAAAGTTCTATTGATACAAGAAAGCATTACCTCTCTCTTGGAGGTTCACTTCTAGACCTTGATGAAACTTGCTTTTGGTCCAGGCCCATAGCTGGCTGCGATACTTCTGCTCCTTTTCTACGGTCGGACTGCACACTGGAAGAAGAGATTTCCTGTGATGAGGCAGTTGCTGTACTTAAGGGAGTCTGTGATCTCGATCGCTCCTGAAGTCTTGCTTTCTTTTCTCTCGGTGCATCCGAGCTTCCACCAGTCGCCGTATCACTTAGCGCTCCGTCCTGGCTGGGTGAGGGCTGTGGTCCACTTCCAAAAAACCACGCTCCAGATTTTGTTAGGATTTCTTGTTGCTTTCGACATAAATTGCATACCCACATAACCTAGTTGAAGACAACAAGAAGAGTCAGTGCAGCTACCCCTCAGGCCCTGAAATCCATGCTCACTGTCACAGAGCAGGGACGATCTCTCGCTCTCCTCTAAACTTGGTGAGGTTGGTGCTCATGACAGGACCTGAAACATGCTTCTCCAAGCACTGTCTGCACTGGCTAGAGCCAAGCATCCTACAGGCACATGCTATGCGAGCTTCTGCAGAATGTGCTGTCCACATCCATCAGTCCTACCCGTAGCAATCCCCCCTCAGCCCAGCCCTAGCTCTCTTCTGAATAAACACCGACAACACGACCAACGCTTGTTGCTGGTGTTGATGCAGTTGGTGGGGTGGGCTGGGTTGTTTTCGCTGGTGTGGATCACTGTCACGACAAGCCTACCAGACTGTAAAGGGGACTTTTATCTCGGGTGGCAGAGTCCTGCCCAGCTAACTCCCAGCCTCCACCACCACAGAAAACTGACACAGTATTTCCTTTTAACTAACTTTTCTCATGTAATATAACTCAACCCTATCCTGCAAATAAATTCAGCGTTTACTGTGTGTGGTTTTGGCTACATCCACAACTACTTACCAGGGGTGTAAGGTAAGACCTAAAGAAACCTACTTAATAGAGAATTAACTGCACCAATTAGAAGAATGAAAAAAATACCGTATTTTGTACTACTTGGAAATGATTATTTACCATCTCTTTGAGTTATAGCTGTAAATAATAAATAAATAAATTAAACTTGTGTCCCTGTCAATCACAGTGAAGCTGTGTACATAAGCCATGCTTCTTAGGATTTAAAAAAAATTATTTTTTTTTTTTTTAATTCCAGATACACAGATAAACAAGAGGACACACAGTAAAGTGAGACTGTATGTTTCAAGTCTATATGCAATACAAGACAGTCTTATGTACAAGAATAAATCGCCAGAGAAATACAAAAAGTTAACCAGGACTCTAAAGTATATGAATATTTAAGAAAAAAAAATGAGACAAAGACAAAAGGAATTTTATGGCAGATGAACAAAAGAGGCAAGATGCATGAAGAATACACAGTATGTAGGCATTTTGTCAGAAATAAAAGTAGAGATGAGAGGATACATAGTGGACAGCTAGTAAGGAAAATGGTAAAGAAAATCTTTTATTTTAATGTGGAAGGAAGTAAAAGATTGGGTAAAATTGTAAAGAAGGTAAAAAGGATGACAAAATTTGGAATTAAAAATATGCTTAAATTATTTTGGGTAAACACAGGAATGATGTAACTGTCACAAAATTATACAACACTTAAAATTAAAAGGAACATCAAAAAACAATCACTTCAGGGAAGAAATTGCAATAGGACAAAGCTCTGCTACCAGGCTCTCTTATTCTCTGGCCTGGGGAGGAAGTGCATGGCTTACATGGCATGATGAAAATTTTAGGCATTTTACATATTTAAAATAATTAAGGTTTATTTAAAACACCCTAGAACAGACTATCTGTTTAATTCTGAAGACGGCATCAGAACTTCCAATACCATTTCTGCCCTATTACAATTTTAATTAATTCAAAAAAATTAATCAGACGCTACAGTTATTCCAACAGTGGCACAAACATGCATTATGATAAAAACAGATAACCCTGAATAGGATAATAGGAACAGCAACTTTGACAAAATAATTGCTACTCCTTTAACAAAAAAATCCCTTGATTCCAAAGTGTCTTATTTCCTCCAACTACTATACCTCACAAAAAAGAGATTCGGTTTATCAGACTACCCGTTGTAACAGAATAGATTTTTAGTCGATCTGGCATTATTATTACAGGTATTTAAAAAGCCAGCAAGACTAAAAGGAAAAAAACCCCACATTTTAAAATGCCTTTACAGACTCTGACACAATTGCTAGCTCATTAGAGAGCAAGAGTGTGCATGCACATGTCTGTGTATAAAAGCTATGTCAATGCTATAAACCAAAGTCATTAATGAAAAATATGTTGTTGCCTGTATTTTATCAGTTTACAGGGAAAGTTGAAAGGAGTGTTAAAAAAAAAAATCAACTAGATTTTGTTTAAAGGTAGGATAAGGAATACTAAAGTAAAATTTAAATATTCTAATTAAATTACATATGTGTATATGTAGTCAAGCACATTTAAATATGTAGAGATGGTAACAGACTTCATTTACAATTTAATGTATTTGATCATTTAAAATATGCATAAAGTATGTAATAAACTTAAAGAAATTACCATTAATTTACATCACATTTGATATCATGATTAATTTTATGCAAAATATTGTGAGATCCAAACAAGTAGGAATAACTAATGCACAAATAGACACAGAAAAATACAGAATACAGAAAGAAGAAATAGTAGACATGTAAATACAAAACCACTTTCTTACAGCTGTCTTTAAACACTGAAGTTTGGACACAATACATACCAATCACCACAGATTACACATGTAGGAAATCTGCATTATACTCACACAGAAGCTACACTATCATCACTGTTTAGGAATCTCTTCAGGACTTAATAAATGCTAAGTTTGCCTTGTGATATATTAGGTCCAAAAGAAAAAATAATAAAAGCTTCTCTTTAAGAGGAAAAAAAAAATAAAACTTGAGGTGACAGAAGAATTTCAGTGAAAAACTGTATATTGAAAAACACTTTTATAAAGTATGTGAAGCAAGCAGTTTAGCAGCATGCAGGAGTTATATCCTGATTGAATATACTGGGATGTGGTCCAAACTAATCTAAACTAAAGCAGGTCGGTGTAATAACTTATCTTAACAATCCACAGATGTTAGGCAACCAAACAAATGCTCTGATGAAGGATTACAGTTCTCTAATGTGGCTTCTGGACCTCCATGCGATGCATCAGTAAAATGAAGAGTGTTAGACAATTTTACTCTGGCCTGTCACTTCAAAAACAGTTTCTGTTTACTCTTTTCTGGATGGTGAGCTCTGATGCAGTGCTATAGTACTTCATTCAACACATCCAGAATCTGGGTTTTGTTGCTGGGTTTGTTTCTGGTTTATTGCATTCTTGCATAGGTCAATGCATACCCACACATGAGGCTATTGAAGAGAACCAGTAAAGGGGTGCTCCTCATTCAAAGGGTTCATATCAATGGCTCTGGAAAAATGTGCATTTTCACAGCATAGCAAAGGGGTTTGGGCTTTATTGCTACATAACAAAAAGGAAGTGGCACATACAGGACTCAGCAGAGGTGGGTCAACAGTTCCCACACAGAACCATGTGGAAATTTTACAGGCTGCGTGAAAACATGCTAGAAGGATCCCATGCTTGCCTTCACGTGGAATACAGGGTATTTCATTCACAGAGAAAATATTCCTCAAACTTACTCTTACAGGTACTGCTGAATGTGATCCACAATGAGTAGGAACAGTATTCCTGTACTAACACAACATGAAATTCCAACTTGAAAGAGCCCATAGTAAATAATACACACAACTATACACACAGAGAAAAAGAGCATTTTCAGTTACAAAAATAAGAACACTTCTTCATAATTACATATTTCAAAACTGCATTTTAGAATGCAGAAAAAAGGCTTTTTTTTCAAATTCAGATTTGGAGACTTCTAAACATGCACTGGGAGGCTAAAGTCACGTTGGGGGGGGGACACAAACTTTATACGAAATTTGTGTGACACATCCCAGGCAAAACTCTGAGGTCAGAGCAAGTTCCCCAAATCCTTCACCCAAGCCCAGATTCTGAGGAAGCCCCATAAGGAGCACTCTCCTTCACACTTCATGAGTTTATAAATTGCAAACCCACAGTTACACTGACTCCCATGCATCCTGCTTCATCTCTGTACCGCAAATTAGTGAACAAGTGTGCTAATATAGCAGGCCACAAGCTATTCCTTACTGAACCTTCATGATACATTAATTATTTTCCTTCTGAAGGGTGTATATACAACATCTTCTCAGTTTATTACTTTTGTTAATGTTCCTTTAGCCACCTTGTTCTATGCATTTCTAGAATACACTAGTTATTTCAGATGAACCTAATTAGGCAGAGCCTCTTCTCTGCCTGAGGCACCATTAACTTCAACTGAGCTCTGCCACCGTCCTACAAGTCATCTCTTGAAAGTCAGAGGGAAGAAATGTAACCAATTTTCTCTTACAAAATTATTCATTCATAGAATTAAGTTAGATCATGTATCACTTGATGTTTCTGGGATAATATAAAAACATGCAGAAAACCATTAAATTTGTATATGGCATTGAATTTATATCTTTTGCTATATCAAAATGAATTCTGTAATAAAACACTAGCTAAAGTGTCATGACAGCTTCACTCCATTAGGATATAAATATGCAAAGCTGAAAAACTACTTGGATCCTTACATTAGTCTAAAATCTAAAAAGTAAGCAACTCTACCTTTCTAATGAAAATGTGCTTGTGAATCCAAGCTTTCATTAAATATATTTTTCAAAACTGTATGGACAGTTGAGTTAATCCAATGGCTCCTGGTCACCAAAAGGGAAGGTCTCCCCACCTCCCTCTTCCCTTCCGCTTCTTTCTCCCTATCAGGGTTTCTCCTCTCCATTCCTCACTCCCAGATTCCCCATATCACGTACTCCCTTGTATCCTCTTCCTTGACTGTCACGTCCTCCCAGGAGCCACTTGCATTGAAAAAACATAGTATAAATTTATCTGTATTTTTTTAACTGGATTCATTTTTTTGCCACATCTATTTTTTCTCATGGAGGGATATGATGATTAGTGAAATCACGTGTCCAGAAAGAGAGGCAACTGGGGGGAAGAGGATGTTTTCTCTATGGCAGTGGCCTGCCATCTCCTGTTAAACTACAGCTTGAAATGACATCAATACAAGTACATTAAAGTTGCACAGAAATGTTTTTGAGAACTGAAGCCAAATGACGTGAAATAACCTGCACCTATGCTAGGATCTGTGCTTTACTTCAAAGCAAGGTGGCTGCATAAAAACTACCTCCTGGAGGTGAGCCTCAGCGCACCCCATCTCTCAGACCACCAGGAAAAATTGGTGAGAAAGCGCCAGCAGGCAGGAGACCAAGAGGATGCCAAGCAGCCTTCTGTCAGTTTACTAGCACAGATACTCTAACACCTAGGAATAGTCCCAGATAACTTTTAATTTGTTAGTAAAGAAGTAGCCTAGGAGTCTCAGTTCTGCTTTTTCCGAAGCCTCTCCTCTGGATTGAAGAGTTCAGAAGGATAGTAGAACTCTACCATTCTCACCTCCAAGCAGGGAGAGGACCACTTTGCCCCCTCTGATTCTCATCAGACATACAGGGCTCAGCCATTTCAAGACTGTGAAATTAAAGCCATTTTAGCACGCTGTTCTTCCATTCCTGGGCAAAGCAGATTTTCTTCATAACTTAGGTTTTCAGCTTGATATTTTTATCCCAGTTTGGCAATAAAATGAGGTATATGCTGACAGCTGATTGTTTTTCCCCCCCTTTCCTCCCCTCATCCTCCAATAATTTTTTAACCCACTGGACAAATGCAGTAAAATTTTGCATAGGCATGGAAGTTTTCAAGGGATTATATTCTTAAAGGTTCCATGAAATAGGCAGATCTATAAATGCACTGTAAATATTTCATTAGTGCAACCTTTTATTGGCATCACAGAATCAACATAGCAATTCAACTGCAAGACATGTTCACAAGGAACGAGGCCCCACTGCTCACAAAACCACGTCACCTTAAAAGTTGTTGAAAAACCCGCCTTACCAGAATTTTTCACTTACACCAGAGTACGCACTTCATACTCTTTTCCTGCTTGCCTCTCATAGGTAACTAAAATGTTAACTTTCCAAATCAGATCCTATGTGTACAAATAAGGATGAGAGCAAGATGCTTTTATTTTTCCTGTCTACACAGAAATGACTACAGGCATGGCAGGTATTTAAGTTCCCATCCAAAGAGAATCCACTCACTTTCAAGTAGACACAACAGAATAAAATTAAATCCTGTGCCTAAGGATAGACTAGTGCCATATCCCACCTGGTTGCCACGTGCCACTTAAGAGGGCATAAGCCTGCCACACGAGTTACATCACAGCTGCCAGCCATACATACATGTCTTATGTACCATAGGGTATCAAAAATGGCATCAGATGCCTGCTTTTAGGCAACTGAACACACAGTTTACACATTGACCCTAATCTTATTCCTAGACTAAGTTTCTAAACCCACAATTACAAACTTCCAATAGAAAGATGCAGAAAAAATGCTGTGGAGCAACGACTCGAGCAGTTAACATTGAAAGGGTATTTTATGCCAGTTTTGTTGACACTGCTGCTAGCAACCACGTTACTAGTCATTTTAAGATAAAAATAAAACAAAAAACAACTGACTTTCTTCACATGCCCTGCTGCCAAAATCTGTCAGCTACAGCTGCCAATCTTTCAGAAACCTCCTGACAAATTCCACAAAAATTAAACATTCTCTAGAATAATCCTGCAGCAAACTGAGTGTTGAAACTGATACATTCAGGCAACTATAAAGTTATCATATGAAATAATATCTCTAAAACAGAACGTAGCCAGTTTCCAGTCACTATTGCAATGTACTTCTCTGAGAATGCCTTTGGAGTTCAAGGAAGAAACCAAAATCGCCAGTGGAGAAGTCATGGCTTTTGTCTAAAAATTCACACCAGCACATTTACACACAGGAATTTGAATATTCTCCCCCTGCAAGTTTTTTTCTAAATCTGCTACACAAATTAATTAATTAATACATGCCACTAAAACCATACTACAAAAATTGTATTGTCACAGTTACAGTTGTGACCTTCTAAAGCAGGACTATAGCTCAGACAAACTGTGAAACCTTGAACCTGAACTTCCTTGCAGCTCTGGTTTTATGTCTACTTCTAACAAAAATGATCAAAATTTACAAACTTACAATTAGGGGGGAGACAGAAGAGACTATCGTACCAGGAGAAAGGAGGGGTTAAAAATCAAAGAGACTCAGGAAGTATTAATTGTTTGGTCTGATTTGTCTGGGCTTGAGAATTTTGGGTCCTGGAAAAAAACAAACTCTCAAGAAAAGTTTATGGAGCATCAGACAGGACAGGCTTTATCTATCCACAGGTCATCATGATGAAGCTTAGACCACTGGTTTTCAAACTCAGCAATCCCACACATTCCAATGGTTTGATTCCTTCACAGGCCTTATATTTAAGCTTACTTCATTTAAAATCCATTTTCCATTGTTACCCCTCCCGCACTCATCTCATCCACACTACCCAGTTTCACCCTCAGTATTTTTACTTTCTTGGCAGTGGGAGAATTCTAAGCCCCAGCAACAATTACAACTTTAGAAAGCTCTGCTTTGGTCTCACTCTTCCCTTATAGATCAGTTTCTTTTTTAACTTTATTTCTCTTGCCTGAATTTCCTTCAATTTCTTAATATATTTCTGATAATGAAATAGCCATGAATTGTGAGTCACATTTTCTGTAACATCAATCTCCATTTTTCATAGAACACAAAGCTACACTAGAAATCATTCTCATAGGTAATTTTTGTATAGTCTTCTAACCTTCTTAAAAAACTACAAAAAGCTTTGTCTATTTGAACATTTGGCTGTCTTGATGAGCCACAGACGCATCAACTGTACTCCTCTTAATCACTTCATGGTTTCCATAGTTACAGATATACATGGAACATAGAAATAATTTTTTTAAGTGACAAATTCTAACAAAATACAGTAAATGGCATGAAACAACTTACAGTAAGGACTGATATAAAATTTTAGTTGTCATTCAAAAAAAAGAGAGAATTCACCAGAAGCTTTCCACTGCATTTATCCACTTATATATCTACAAATTGTAGTAAAAATATACAAATTATTAGAACAAGACTGTCTTCAGTAGTGCATGAGTGTGTACATCATCTCTCTGGCAGCTTGCACTATAACACCTTTATTTATGTTTCTATATAATTACCTTATATGAATATCCTTTTATATAAAATGTGTTAAATTTAATAGAGTGGCAAGAGATTTTTTTTTATATATAGAATGGAAAATGATGACAAAATAAATTCTCCACATGTAACTGTAGAGAAGTTGCAAAGAAGGTTAGTCAAAATGGAAACACAGTTAAACTGAGATACAAAAAAAAAAGCTCATGGAAGGAAAAGTGAGTGGGTTAACTGATGAAGGTCATGGGGGCTTGATGGGCATGAACTACGTTCTGATTCTGTATTCTCAAAAACAACAAAAAAAATATTGTTACGGACTCTCCATGATTAGAGACATTCAAAATCCAACAGGACGTGGCCTCATCTACTTGGGCCTCCTCTGAGCAGAGATTCAGACTAGAGGATCTTCAGAGGCCCCTTCAAACCTCAACCACTCTGTGATTCTGTATGGATTAAAGCACTGAGAAATTTAGGTATCT